ACTATTATTATATCTAAAAGGGGAGATACACCCCAATACAGTAATATTTGGAGACTTCAACATCCCTCTCTCAGCACTGGACAGACCATCTAGTCAAAGATTTAGAAGAGAAATATTGGATTTGAATGACACTTTAGACCAAATGAACTTGACAGACATTTACAGAACATTTCATTCAACAAATGCAGAATACACATTCTTCTCATCAGCACATAAATCATTCTCCAGGACAGGCCACATATTAGGCCAAAAATCAAGCCTCAACAATTTTTTTTTTTTGTCTTTTATCTTTTTCCGTGTTCGGCAACGGATCGCAACCCTCAGTGTTGCCCCCGTACCGGACCGGGGACCGGCAACGGGATTGCAACCCTCGGCGTTGCTCCCACACCTCGCTCAGCCAGTGAGCAGGAACCGGTCTGCATGTGGGATCTTTTTTTTTTTTTTTTTGTCTTTTTCCGTGTCCGGCAACGGATCGCAACCCTCAGTGTTGCCCCCGCACCGGACCGGGGACCGGCAACGGGATTGCAACCCTCGGCGTTGCTCCCACACCTCGCTCAGCCAGTGAGCAGGAACCGGTCTGCATGTGGGATCCGAACCCTAGGGCGGGAGCACCGCCGCGCTTCCCAAGCGGCGCACTTATCCAGTGTGCCACCAGGCTGGCCCAAGCCTCAACAAATTTTAAAAGACTGAAATCATATCAAGTATTTTTTTCAGATTATAATGGAATAAAACTAGAAATCAACAAGTGAAACTTTGGACATTATACAAGCACATGGAATTAAAAAAATATGTTCTTGAACAACCAATGGGTCAAAGAAGAAATAAAGCAGGAAATCAAAAAATTCATTGAAACAAATGAAAACACAAGCACAACATACCAAAACCTATGGGATACTACAAAAGCAGTACTAAGATGGAAAATTATCGCAATAAGTGCTTACATCAAAAAAGGTGAAAGATCCCAAATAAACAATCTAATATTACACCTCGAGGAACTAGAAGAGCAAGAACAATCCAGCCCCAAAATTAATTCCAGAACTAAATGAAATAGAAACCCCCCAAATGATACAAAAGATCAATGAAACAAAAAGTAGGTTTTTTGAGAACAAAATAGACAAACCATTAGCTAGAATAAGCAAGAAAAGAGAAAATCCACATATCAAATATCATAAATGAAAAAGGAGACATTACAACTGATTCCACAGAAATACAAAGAATCACTAGAGACTATTAAGAACAACTATCTAGGGCCGGCCCGGTGGCGCACTGCTACAGTGCACCGCTTGGGAGCGCGGCGGCGCTCCAGCCGAGGGTTCGGATCCCACGTACAGACTGGTGGCTTACTGGCTGAGCGAGGTGCGGGCGCAACACCGAGGGCTGCAATCCCGTTGCCGGTCCCGGTCCAGTATGGGCGCGACACTGAGGGTTGCGATCCGTTGCTGGTCACGAAAAAAGACAAAAAGGAAAAAAAAAAAAAAAAAGAACAACTATCTGCCAACAAATTTGAAAACCTAGAGCAAATGAGTAAATTTCTGGGCACATACAACCTACTGAGACTGAACCAAGAAAAAAAAGAAAACTCGAGCAGACCAGTAATGAGTAACAAGACGGAATTGGTGATCAACAGTCTCCTGACAAAGAAAAGCCCAGGACAGGATGGCTTCACTGCTCAATTCTACCAAACTTTCTTTTTTTTCTTTTTTTTTTTCCCTTTTTGTCTTTTTTCGTGTCCGGCAACGGATCGCAACCCTCAGTGCCGCGCCCGTCCGTACCGGACCGGGACCGGCAACAGGATCGCAACCCTTGGTGCTGCACCTGCACCTCGCTCAGCCAGTGAGCAGGAACCGGTCTATATGTGGGATCTGAACCCTCAGCGGGAGCGCCGCTGTGCTCCCAAGCGGCGCACTGTAGCAGTGTGCCACCGGGCCGGCCCCTCTACCAAACTTTCAAAGATTTAGTACCAGTTCTTCTCAAACTATTCCAAAAAATCAAAGCAGAGGGTATTGTTCTTCCAAACTCATTCTATGAGGCCAGCATCACCATGATACCAAAACCAGACAAATATACAACAAATAAAGAAAACTACAGGCCAGCTTCCAGTCAATATGGTGGAATAAACGGTCCCCAGCATCGCTCTCTCCCACAAATCAACCAATTTACAACTATTCAAAAGCAATGGCAGCTAAGCTGGGGCTGCTAGAGCTCAGGGGAAAAGGAGGAGAGACCTACGGAGTTCAGGAAGGCAGGAGAAGCCACAATGAGAGAAGAAAAGGATTGCTCCCACCATTTCAAGCCCCGGCCACTTTAAGACTGGAGTGCACAGAGCAAGAGCTTGTAAAAGCTGCAGCTGTGCCCTTAGTGTGAAGTTGCTTGGGAGCAGCAGGGGAGAACAGGGTGTTGGTCCCCAGGCTAGCAAGACCACTAACAGGGCTCCTGTGGACCCACATAGGAACAAGGAGCCACAGACAACAGAAAAAAGGAGCTACTCGGAGGCCAGTGAATCATTGCAAGGGACTGGTGCATGGCCCATCCTGTGGGAAGTATTTGGAGCGTAGGCAGTAGGGGAGACAGGCCCACCTGGGGAACATTTGGGTACAGCATGGACAGCTGATCTGCCCTCCAATCAGTGCAGGACCACTCAATGGAGACTGGTCAAGAATATAGAACTGCAGGGGGTATAGTTTGCTGAAAAGACTCAGGCCCAATCCAGAGCCTCCACGCAGCCCAGGTGCACTGGACCTCATGAGAACCAGAAGTACATACAAGGCCAACCATTAAGACCTGAGCTGCATGAAAAGCCTTCCCCAGGGAATCAGCAGCAATGAAGCAATTTAGCTTAGCTCAGCTACAGGGCTCAAGTGCTGGTCCCCACAGGAAATTCCTCCATTTTAAAAGGAGGCAAAAGACAACAAATTAGTTCCAGTGCAGAATTTGAGTGGTGGGAACAGCAAATAATCTAACACAGAACTGAAAGAAAAAACAAAACCCACAGATCAGAGGCAGAGTTTGATATTAACTAATAGAGGTCTCACTCACCAAAGAGCACCTATAAACCCCTGGGCTTCCAAGCCAGGGAGGGTGGGGGGCCAAGGGCCTCAGCCACACACCCCAACATCCACAACCAGCCCAGCTATGACCACTGAGCTGCTGCATGTAGCACCCTGGGCCCCTGAGCCAGGATGGCGGGGGGCCAAGGGCCTCAGCCATGCCCCCTCCAACATCCGCAAACAGCCCAGAGACAACCACCGAGCCACCACAGCTAGCACCCTGGGCTCCCGAGCCAGGGCAGTAGGGGGTTGAGAGCCTTGGCAATGCTCCGCCCGACATCCACAACCAACCCAGCAATGACCACTGAATTGCCTCAGGAAGCACCCCGGCTTCTGAGTTGGGGCACTGGGGGGCTGAGGGCCTCAGCCACATACCCCTGACATTGCATCTAGCCCAGCGATAACGCAGCTGCTGCTGGAAGCCCGCTGGTCTGGAATGGACAGACTGTGGTACATTCCTATAACTGGATGCTGAATTGTGAGGGAAAGGAATACACCTTACCTACTGCATCAGCATAAACAGACCTCAGAAACGATCCAGAAGCAGCAGGCCACACGAGGTACACACAGTATGATGTCATTTGTTTACATCTCAAATTATTAAGGGATACAAAAGTGGAAGAATTCTAAGACAATTTTCTAGGTCTCAGTCTGAGCTGTGGTTACACAGATGTTCACGTTATAATCATTCTTTAAGCTGTTCACGTTTTACAGTCTCTTCTGAATGTATGATATTTTTTACAATGAAAAAGTGGGGGAAAAAAAGCAGTAGAATCAAATGCAAAATTAAGGACAGTGTCCCCTGTTAAAGGGAAGGGGGCGCATGGGTTTCAGCTGGGGCATATCAGGATTTTGAAAGTAATAGTAATGTTCTCTTTCTAAAACTGGATGGTAGGTCTCAGATATTTGCTGTGTTGATATTCTAAATATCCTATATATAATTTATAATTATTTAAATACTTCTGGTATTTTACTTAAAATGTAAAGAAAAAACATGTTAAAGTGTTAAAGTAAACATCTTAAAGATAGGTGCTATCTTAATTCATTATATTACTATATATTAATGTATTATTATATTAATGTTATATTAATACAACATTGTGAACTAGTGATAGAGTTTGGATGTGTTGTCCCCCCAAAGCTCATGTCAAAATTTGATTCCCAACTTGGCAGTGTCGGGACCTGTCTGGGTTATGGGGGCCAATCCCTCATGAGTAGATTAACGCCCTGGGGTGGGGGTAGGGAGTTCTTACTCTAGTAGTTCCTGCCACCGCTGGTTGTTTAAAGGTCTCTCTCTCTCTTTCTCTCTCTCTCTCTCTCTCACTTGCTTCCTCTTGCCATGTGATCTGCTTGTACCCACCGGCTGCCTGCCACTTTCTGCCATGAGTAGAAGCAGCCTGAGGCCTGTGCCTCATGCAGCTGTCCCAGAATCGTGAGCCAAATAAACCTGTTCTTTATAAATTAGCCAGTCTCAGGCATTCTGTTATAGCAACACAAAAATGATCTAATACAACTAGGCTGGAAACTTTCATACCACTGTTACAATAAGAAAATGAATTCGGAATTCTTACTAACTAGGCCATACAATCTTTTAGAACATTGCTTGTAAAGTGCAAGAGAAAAAAGCCCCTCCTGGACCAGATCCTTAGGAAAGTGCCCCCACTGTGCCCTCCTCCGGGACAGCAGAGGAGGCATGACTGGTTGACGGGATTTACATCCTGGGCTCTATCTTTCTTGCCACAGGAGGTTGTGGTTCCTGAGTGGAGCCACCTGCTTCTCCCCATGACCTTCTAGAACACGTGGAGGTGGTAAGCAGCTCGCACGGCGTGCTCCACGATCTGGCAATGGTCACTCTGTGAGGTGGTTTTATCTGCTGCAATCTGAATAACAGCCCAGCCTGACAAAGTCAAATTCATTCCACTTTATTCTGCAAAAAGAATTTATTATTCTCACCTCCATCTTCCAAGTTTTGCAGCGTATGTTTGAGGCTAGCACTTTCCATAAATGACTCTTGGCTCACAATCTAAAAAGAAAATAAACAGACCACAAACGTACGCATTTTAGGGCAAAGTGAGAAACAAGTGGTGCTATATTATTCCTTAATAAAGAATAAGCTAGTATGTTATGCAAATATAATATTAATTCTGGTAAACCATTTGAATAGCCAGCACTTAAACAGTACCTGAGACACATTTTCTTCATCTTTTGAGTACTCCAAGGTAGAGAGAATGCTCAGTGGGTGGGGACTCTGAAGTTCTGCAGATTAAAGAAAACAGTTTCAAGTGAATAAACACACCCAGAAACAATCGGAGGCAATAACATTTCACTACTGCTCAAAGTCATCATAAAAGACACAATTCTAAATAAAAACAAACAAAAACTTTGTAGGTTTCAGAGCACAGGTGGTTATTAGCTTTGCAGAGCTGTAGATAAAAACTAATAGCCTAATGCCTCAACCAGATCAGCAACTTTAGTAGCTGCCCAGCTGGTCCTAAATGTGTGGGCAAGGATTCTGCCTCATCAGCCCTGTGATTCTTCTCTTTTTTCCCCCTTATATCCCCTCTTATCTCTTCTGTTATGTGTGTGATGATTTGAACTACACGTATACTTTGTGGAATGATTATCACATACAAATTAGCAGACCCAATACCACACATGCTGCACAGTAGATTCCTGCAATTTGTTCATCTTATAACTCAGCGTCTGTATGCTCTGAGCAACGTCTCCCATCCCCCCCACCCCCAGCCCATGCAAACCACCATCCTACTCTGTCTCTATGAGTTCAACTGTTTCAGATTCTACATGTAAGTAAGATCATGTATTTGTCTTTCTGTGTCTGGCCTATTTCACGTACTAATTTTGTTTACTTTGGATATACACTCAGAAGTGGGATTGCTGGATTGTTCTAATTTTTTGAGGAACCTCCATGCTGGTTACATTCCTACCAACAGTGAACAAGGGCTTCCTTTTGTCCACACCTTTACCAACATTTGTTACCTACTTGCTTTTTGATAACAGCCATCCTAACAGATGTGAGCTAATAGCTCATTGTGGTTTTGATTTGCATTTCTCTCGTGCTTAAGCATCTTTTCATATACTTGTTGGCCATTTGTATGTCTTTGGAAAAAAAGTCTATTCAGATCCTTTGCCCATTTTTAAATTGTGCTATTTGGATTTTTTTGCTACTGAGTTGTGTGAGCCCATATATATTTCAAATAATAACTCCTTACCAGACACATGGTTTGCAAATATTATCCCTACTTCAGAGGCTGCCTTTCCATTTTGTTGCTTCCTTTGCTGTGCAGAAGTTTTTTAGTTTCTAACTCATCCAACTTGTTTGTTTTTGCTTTTGTTGACTGTGCTTTTGGTGTCATATCCAAAAAATCATTGCCAAAACGAAAGGCCAGGAGCTGGTTCCCTACGTTTTCTTCTAGGAATTTTAGAGTCTTTAATTACTTTTACGTATCAGTCTTTAATCCATTTTGAGTTAATTTTTATGTATAAGGTTCCAATTTTATTCTTTTGCACATCAATATCCAGTTTTCCTAATGTTTATCGAAGAGACTACCTTTTCCCCACTGTGCATTCTTAGTGACCTTGTCAAAGATTAGTTGGCCATATACGTGTGGGTTTATTTCTGGGCTCTGTACCCTGTTCCACTTGTCTATGTGTCTTCTTTTGATTATTGTGTCTTTGTAACTTAGTTTGAAATCAGGGAGTACATTGCCTCCAGCTTTGTTCTTTATCTAGATTGCTTTGGCTACTTAAGGTCTTTTGTGGTTCCATACAAATTTGAGGATTTTATTTTCTACTTTTGTGGAAAATGCCATTGGAATTTTGATAGGGATCATGTTAAAATTGTAGATCGCTTCAGGTAGTATTAAACATTTTAATAATATTAATTCTTCTAATCCATGAACATGGGATATTTTTCTATTTATTTGTATTTTCTTCAATTTCTTTCATTAATATCTTATAGTTTTCAGTATGCAGATGTTTTTTTACCTCCTTACTTAAATTTATTCCTAAGTATTTTATTTTTTGATGCTATGTAAATGGGGTCATTTTCTTGATTTCTTTTCCAGATAGTTTGTTGTTAGCATACAGAAACACAACTGATATTTTGTATGTTGATCTTGTATTCTGCAACTTTACTCAATTTGTATTAGCTCTAACAGTTTTATTGGTGGAGTCTTTGGGGTTTTCTATATGTAAAATCATGTTATCTGCAGACAGATACAATTTAACTTTTTTCTTTCCAATTTAGATGGATTTTTTTCTTTTTTTGCCTAATTGTTCAGTACCATACTGAACAGAGTGAGAGTGAGCACCCTTGTCTTGTTCCTGATCTTGGAGGAAAAGCTTTCAGATTTTCACCACCGAGTATGATGTTAGCTGTGGGGTTTTCACACATGGCTTTTACTATGTTGAGGTACATTCTTTCTGTACCTGATTTGGGAAGAGTTTTTATAATGAAAGGATGTACAATTTTGTCAAATACTTTTTCTGCACCTATTGAAATATGATTTTTATCCTTCATTCTGCTGATGAGGTTTATCACATTAATTGATTTGTGTATGCTGACCCATCTTTAATCAACATCTCCCATCTTCCCTAGCCCCACCCCCTGGTAACCGCTATTCTGCTATTTCTATGAATTCAACTTTTTTACATTCCATATATAAGTGAGATCCAGCAGCATCTGTCTTTCTGTGACTGGCTTATTTCACTTAACATTATTTCACCAATAATAATTATATTAATTAAATCTCAGTAATGGATCCCACTTGATCATGGTGTGTATTAGTCTGTTTCTGTTGCTTATAACAAAATACCTGGAACTGGGTAATTTGCAAGAAAACAAAATTTACTGCTTACAGTTTTAGATGCTGGGAAGTCCAGGGAACACATCCAGTGAAGGCCTTCCTTGGTGGTAGCTTCAGCAGCACAGGGTTTCACATGGCAGAGCAGATAGAGGCTCTCACATGCTCTCCTTGTAAAGCACTCAGAACCACAACCATGACCACCATTGTTAATCCATTCACCATGACATGGTCCTCAGAGTCTAATCACCTCTTCAAGGCCCCACCTTTCAAATACCATAATAGGATTTCCCACTCTCTTAACAGTCACAGTGGAGATCAAGCTTCAAATACGTAAAACTTGGGGGACTCAATTCAATCCATATCACTATGTATTATTCTTCTAATGTGCTGTTGAATTCATTTTGTTAGTATTTTGTTGGAGATTTTTGCATCTAGGTTCATCAGGGATGTTGGTCTATAATTTTCTTTTCTTGTAGTTTCCTTATTTGGCTTTGGTATCAATAATATGCTGGTCTCATGAAATGAGTTTGGAAGTGTTCCCTCCTCTTCAATTTTTTAGAAGACTTTGAGAAGGACTGAAGTTAATTCTTTAAATGCGTAGTAGAATCCACCCATGAAGCCATTGGGTCCTGGGGTTTTTTGTTGTTGCTGGGAGGTTTTTGATTACTGATTCAATCTCTTTACTCATTATTGATTGGTTTAGATTTTCTGTTTATTTATGATTCAGTTATGGTAAATTTTCTGTGTCCAGGAATTTATTTCTTCTACGATATTCAATTTTTGTGTATAATTGTTTGTAGTAGTCTCTTATGATATTTCATATTTCTGTGGTATCAGTTGTAATATCTCCTCTTTCATTTATAATTTTGAGTCCTGTTTTTTTTTTCTGGTTAGTCTGGTGGTCAATTTTATCTTTTTCAAAAAAACAACTCTTAGTTTCATGGATCTTTTCTATTGCCTTCCTAGTCTCTATTTCCTTTATTTCTGCTCCAATCTTTATTATTTCCTTCTTTCCGCTGTCTTTGGGCTTAGTTTGTTCTTCTTGAGGTATGAAGTTAAGTTGTTCATTTGAGATCTTTGTTTTTCACGTAGGCAGTGATCACTGTAGACTTCCCTCTTAGCACTGCTTTTGCTGTACCCCATAAGATTCCGGTATGCGGTGTTTTCATTTTCATTTGTCTCAAGATACTTTATGATGTGCCTTTTTATTTCTTCTTTGACCCAATTTGTTCAGGAGTGTGTACTTTAATTTCCACACATTTGTAAGTTTTCCAAAATCCCTCCTGTTACTGATTTCAAGTTTGACACCACTGTGGCCAGAAAAGATACTTGAGATGATTTCAATATTCTTAAATTTGTTAAGACTTGTTTTGTGGCCCAACATATGATCTGTCCTGGAGAATGTTTTGTGTGCACTTGAGAAGAATGTGTCTTCTGCTGCTATTGTATGGAATGTTTTGAATATGTCTGGTAGGTCCATTTGGTCTAAAGTATTATTCACGTCATCTGTTTCCTTATTGATTTTCTTTTTTTTTTTTTCTTTTTTTTTTTTTCTTTTTTTTTTTTTCTTTTTTTTTTTTCCTTTTTGTCTTTTTTCGTGACCGGCAACGGTTCGCAACCCTCAGTGTCACGTCTGTACCGGACCGGGCCCAGCAACGGGATCGCAACCCTCGGCGTTGCTCCCGCACCTTGCTCAGCCAGTGAGCAGCCGGTCTGTATGTGGGATCCGAACCCTCAGCGGGAGCGCAGCCGCGCTTCCCAAGCGGCGCACTGTAGCAGTGCACCACCGGGCCGGCCTTCCTTATTGATTTTCTGTCTGCATGATCTACTAATTGTTGAAAGTGGGCTATGTAGTCCCTACTATAATTGTATTACTGTCTGTTTCTCCTTTCAGTTCTGTTAATATTTGCTTTGTATATTTAAGTGTTCCAATGTTGGGTACATATATTTATACTTGTTATATCCTCTTGATAAACTGATCCTTTTATCATTATCAAGTGACCTTCCATCTTTGTCTCTTGTAACAGATTCTGACTGAAAGTCTTATTTTGTGTGATATAGTTATAGCCACCCCCGCACTCTTTGGGTTACCATTTGCATGGAATATCTTTCTCTATACCTTCACTTTCAGTCTATGTTTTCTTTAAGGCTAAAGTGAGTTTCTTGTACGCAGCATACTATTGGGTATTGTATTTTTTGTACCCATTCAGTCACTTTGTGCCTGAAGAATTTAATCCATTTACATTTAAGGTAATTATTGATAGGTAAGGACTTACTAGTGCCATTTTGTTAATTGTTTTGACTATTTTGTTGTCCCTTTGTTCCTTTCTTCCAATCTTGCTGTCTTCCTTTTTAATACACTTTACTACTATATTTTTTTCTCTCCTTTTTCCCGTTCCCTATTTCTTTTCTGCCAGTGGCAGCTACACTAGAAGGTTGTCAGTCAAGTGCTAAGTGTTGTTGAATGCATGGCAATGTGCTAACCTGCAGAATAATAAAGATAAACAAAGCAAAATCCCTACTTCTACAAATTTAGAAGGTACAAACAGTTACAGTAAGGGGTTGAGATGAAGCTTACAGGTCAAGGCTTGGAAAACTCTGACCCCTAGGCCAAATCTAGTACACTATTTGATTTTGTAAATAAAGTTTTACGGAAGCATAGCCACACCCACCCATTGGTCTTGTCTGTGACTGGTTTTGTGCTATAACTGGAGAACTGAATAGTTGCAACAGAAACCAAATGGACTAAAAAGAAAAAAAAATTACTATTTGGTCCTTTACAGATACACTTTACTAATCCCTGCTATAGGTCATCATTTGAGTTTTCTTGTGTTTCTGAAAGGTGAAGAGCACTAACAATTCTTGTATACAAGCTGATCTCAAATGTCAAAGCAAAATTAAAGCAGTATCTTCCATCCTTTGCTAATGGAGACGTTAAAAAGAACAATCATATCTTCACACTTTCTTCAACAGATATCAAAAGAAAAATGTTTTGTTTACTTCAAAGTACCTTTCCCCAAATACAATTTTTCTATGTAAATTGACAGAAAATTATGTACCTGTTTTCTGGACAGAATCTTCAGGAGTCAAGAAGGCAGAACTACCCTGGAATTCTGTTTCAGAAAGTTTTGGAGATGTGGTATTATTTTGACTGGGTGTGTCCTTCCTTAATGGTGTTAGAAGTTTAGCCTAAAATAGAGTACCTTTTTAAGAGTTAACATTCATAACCATTCAAAACAAGTTATCAAAAAATTCCAAGACATCTTCAATATCCTTTTAAGAAGATTAAGATTTACTTCATTTGAAAATAAATGCTAAGACAATACTATCATAGAATCAGAAGAACATTAGATCACATTTCAATTGGTAACTATAAGTCAGTGGTTCTGTGTGTGTGCTCCAGGCAGAGCATCAGCGACACCTGGGAACCTGATTCTCAGTTCCCACCTGCCACGTATGATCTACCCAATCAGAAACTCTAAGGGCAGGACTAAATAATCTGTGTCTTAGCAAGCAATCCTGGTCATTCTGATGATCACTAATGATTAAGAACAACCGCTCTAAATTAGGGTTCAGCAAACTACAGCCCACTTCCTGTTCTTGTAAGTAAACTTTTATTCGAGCACAGTGCAAGCATTCATTTCCATATTGGCTACGGCTGCTTTCTGGCTACAAAGGCAGAATTTAGTAGTTGCCACAGACACTATACGGCTCACAAAGACTGAAATATTTACTATCTGGTCCTTTACAGGAAAAGTTTGCCAACCCTTGCTCTAAATGATTCTCTTGTACTCCAACAAAGAGAAGTGTATTTTGAGTATTTGTAAAAGTCAACAATGCCCTCACTGAAAATCAGCACAGACTTCTTACTGGGTGCACAGCTGAAACTGATGGATTCCTGCAGCTGAGGTGTTTCTTTGGTGCTTATTTAGCACAAAAGCTGTATTTACTAGAAAGTGTTCTTTTGGTCCATTCCTAACTGATAGCTCATTTTCTCAGGTTGAACTATTCAACAGACAGTTAAGTCCTTACTCTGGCTCACAGGTTTAAGCTACCTCTGTCCTTTCAGAACACGAGAGCACTTTAGATTCACAGAGGGCACAATGCCCCAGGCTGACGGAGAAAGCAGACAGAGCTGTGACTGTAGGACCAACTGCGTTGTATGTTGGCACAGCAGGCCGGGTGCTGTTCATATCTTCAGAATCACAGGAGTCACCCATGATAAAACTCTTACAGACCTGGTGCTGTACTGTGAAGTCTGTCTACATCTCATGTGCCAAGAAACAAAAACAACTGCTGAGAGAGGTAATTAAGCTAATAAGAAGCAAAATTTGGCTTTGAGTTGGTCTGGCGGACACTGATGTCCATATTCTCAATGACTTTGTTATAAAAAAAAAAAAAGACAAGTGAAGGAAAATTGTACCTTTCAGGGTTTGTTCCAGATTTATATAAGCCTGAAGGCATTTCAACCACTTGCAAAATAAAGACGTAAATGATAAATTACTAAAAGCTTTGGAAGTAACATGGCAACAAAGTGAAAACAAAGGGAAGAAATAAACCAGCAAGGTTACTTTTAAATGTAAATTCAAAGGCGCATACATTTGAGGGAAATCAGAGTAGCCCAGATTTTTAGCGTCATTCAGAATAAACATCCTTCAGCAACATTTGAAAACAGCAAAGAGTTCTAAGTTTTTACCCAAGATTCATATTAAATATTTAGAAAGAAGTCTTTGCACTTTCTACTGGCAATGATTTACATACCAGTAAACTACTCATTTGATATTCTCATGTTCTTATAAGTCTTTTTTTTTTTTTTTCCTTTTTGTCTTTTTTCGTGTCCAGCAACAGATCGCAACCCTCAGTGTCGCGCCCGTACCAGACCGGGACCGGCAACGGGATCGCAACCCTTGGTGTTGCGGCCGCACCTCGCTCAGCCAGTGAGCGGGAACCGGTCTGTATGTGGGATCTGAACCCTCGGCGGGAGCGCCGCCGCGCTCCCAAGCGGCGCACTGTAGCAGTGCGCCACTGGGCCGGCCCCATTATAAGTCTTTTTTTTTTTTTGTCTTTTGTCTTTTTCCGTGTCTGGCAACGGATCGCAACCCTCAGTGTTGCCCCCGTACCGGACCGGGGACCGGCAACGGGATCGCAACCCTCGGCGTTGCCCCCGCGCCTCGCTCAGCCAGTGAGCGGGAACCGGTCTGTATGTGGGATCCGAACCCTCGGGCGGGAGCGCCGCCGCGCTTCCCAAGCGGCACACCGGGCCGGCCCTATAAGTCTTTTTTGAGAAATAAATGCAGTTTAACCCACAAGGGCATGCAGCAGCCCAGATAAAATCTACTTACTCTGTCTTTCTCACGATCACTGCCGCTACTGAGAGGGAAAATTGGCAAGACTAAAATGAAAAAAAAAAAAATGTATACAATGGAACCTTTATGTATGGGGCATACAGAAATTCATTTCTACCTCTCCCAATTATACGTGCCAATGCTAGAAGCCATTCCCACCTCCTACAGCTTGCTCATATATCTATGCTTAAGGTCTCCTTCTACGCCATCCTCACCACCCCACATGCACTCTCGGCTCCGAACCTTGTCCCTGAACATCACTTTCACGTCCTCATCTTGCCCATGCAGTTGCATCTAACTAAGAATGCTTCCCCTCCTCCTCAGCTCTCCAACTCCTACTTTCCCCCCTAAGGGTCCCACCCTCCTCTTCCTTAGAGATTTTCCTGATGATGCCAGTTCCCGCCAGATTCCTCTCGTCTGAACTCCTACTGCATTTATCTATAACTCATATTTAACAATTGCTGGTTAACCCCATATTCTTCTGTTTTGTGTACGTACACTTTGCCTTTCCAACGCAATTACAGCAGGAAAGGAGGCCCCATGATGATATACTTCTTTGCTACTCTCTCCCCTCACATACTGAAAAATACTTGCTGATTTATTTAAGAAGTGACTTGAAAGAAAATGAGCAGCACACTTACTTCTTAAACTGCTTCTGACTCTTTTCTTTTTTCTACTAGAGTATGGTTTTAGGGATTTTCTTTTTTGACTACTGGTCCAAGATAGTTCACTGCTACTAGTACTTGCACCTTGATCACTCTCAGAGAAGAGATGTTTCCTGTAATTAGACTTTTACACACACAGATGATAAGTGAGACCTTTTAAGCGGGTATTAGTGCAATTTATGTACAACTGAACATATTACTACAAAGTTAGACAGAAGAGAAGTTAACTCCTAGAAGACTGAGCTCTCATCTCATAAGAAGGCACAGAAGTAAGGAGGGGGAGAAAAAGAAAAAAAGGATTATTTCAATAGTAAATTCTCAACTAAGCTACTATTGTAAAGACTGACAAAATCCTCTCTAATCAAATATTTGCAACTCAAGAGATGTTAGATAACTGTTCATATCCTGATGCACCTGAATATTGTACCAACACCATAACTTCAAAATACTAACTCAAATAACAAAAGAAAGTATAAATTTTTTTTTTTTTTTTTTGCAAAGACATGCTTTTCTACGTCTTAGAAGAACTAAAGCCAAATAGGAGAGTCATTTCTGTTTAACCTTTAAGGTATTTTGAAATTAAGCCTGAACTATAAAAAGTTAGAGTTTAGGGCAAGTTTAAACTGTTCTGGTGGATTACTCAACTATATTTTGATATTTATATTTTTCATATCTTTTTGGGTTTTTAAATTAACTTTTACAAATGCTGTGGCAAATATATGTTTATGCTCAATTTTAATATGGAGTTATGGAGCTTGTTTTAACAAAACAGCACACTCTACGAGCATACTTCAAAAAGTTCAGCAGACTTCCAGGAAGATCGTAGACTAGAGGTGCCAGCGGTGCATTCCTCCCACAGAAGACTGAAACAGGCCCACTGCTGACAGAGTTGCCGGAGCCATTGTCCAGTCCCAAAACTGTCGGCCATTGCAGAGCAGGTCACTGCAGAGCAGCATTCCCATGGGTGGCACACTGCTACAGCCATAGACACCAAAGCCCCGTGGGAGGCCCCTGCAGCTGCCACCACCATAAGGAAACCCCATGGCTGCTGCAAACACTGCAGCTGAACAGGCAGCCGCTATAAGCACCACTGCCACAGACACTGCCATAGCCAGCACCACCACAAGGGTGGCCTGCCACCACAGAAGCAGCTACCATGACTGCAGCAGCAGCAGCCACTGCAGCTATGCAGGTGGGCCACTAACCACTGGATTGCACTGACACAAGGATGGTTATCAGCAGAGTCCAGGGAAGGAGGTAAGCAAGCACAGAACCATGGTCAGTGTCCCAACCCACAGCGGGAATAACTCTGCCTCCTGCGAAAGTGCACCTGTGGGTGAGAGCTAGGTGGGCAGCCCATGTGACTGCCTTGATCCAGGGAGAGACATACGTGGAACCCCTGGAGAATACAAAAACCCAGGATAGCCAGAGTAAGGAAGGAAATTCCCAGTGCATTTATCGGGGTTATAGGACACTAGCTGGGGAGCCAATAAGCCCATCCAATGTCACCCACCCTAACCCAAGAGTGACAGGGCACCCAAGCACTTCTTCCAAGAACTCGAGATCTCGCCCACATCCTCAATGACTCAATACAGTGTCAATAACCTCAGCTAGGAATCACTAAGTGCCCCAGCACCAAGCCATGGAGGCACTCACACACAACTCCAACATTGACTATGGCGAAAGTACCCACATGGAGACTACACTACTTTAGTATTGGTTCTGGGCATCTACCCTACTCAATGGTAAATATAAAACACATATACAGGAGGACGTCTCTCTCCTCAAAGCCTACTCCAGAGTAACAGAAGAAGCAACTGCTCTACTAGATGAGCAGACATCACTGAAGAGCTACTAGAAATATGAAAAAAACCAAGAAAAATGCTTCCACCAAAAGAGTACAAACACTCAAGTTCCAGACCCATAAAGCAGGAAACCCTTGAATCACTGAAAAGGAATTTTGAGTCTTAAGGAAACTCAATGAGATACAAGAAGACTCAGATGACACAATCAACTGAGCAAAACTATCTGAATGTGAAGGAGGAAATTTACTAAGAGATTAATTCTTTAAAAAAGAATGTAGCAGAAATCATGGAATTGAAGGAGTCATTCAACAAAATAAAAAAACATCCAAATCATGGCAGTTCTGGAAGGGGAAGAGAAAGGAAAAGGAATTGAAAACATATTCAACAAAATAATAGCAGAAAACTTCTCAGGCATAAGGAGAGACACAGACCTTCAGATTCAGGAGGCTCAAAGATTCAATCCAAAAGGGTCCTCTCCAAGACACTTGACAGTCAAACTGGCAAAACTCAAAGACAAAGAGAAAATCCTAAAAACAGCAAGAAAAAAAGCATCGAGTCATCTATATCGGAGTCTGAATCAGACTAACAGCAGACTTCTCAACTGTACTGGCCAGAAAAGAATGAGATGATACATTCAAAATACTAGAAGAAAAAAACCGCCAGCCAAGAATACTATACCAACAAAGGCTATCCTTCAGAAATGAAGTGTATTTCCCAGACAAAAACTATGGGAGTTCACCACCACACGACGAGCCCTGTAGAGAATCCTCAAGGGAGTCCTGCATCTGGAATCTAAAAAACAATAATCATTACCATGAATACACATGAAAAAACAAAACCTATGTAGAATAAAGATGCAAATGAGAAACAAACTATATCTTACCACCTCAAAAAAACGATAAACACACAAAAAAGATTTTAAACATCCAAACGAAAATTGATAAAATGCAAGGAGTAAGACAATACCTTTCAATCACAATGCTAAATGTGAATGGATTAAGTTCCCCACTCAAAAGACACAGACTGGCTGACTGAATTAAAAAGCTAGACCCAACTATATGCTGTCTACAAGAGACCACCTCACCTGCAGATACACAGACTAAGAGTGAAGGGATGGAAAAAGATATACCATGCAAATGGAAACTGAAAACAAGCAGGAGTTGCCATTCTTATATTGGATAAAATAGACTTTAAACCACAAACTATTAAAAGAGACAAAGAAGGCCATTATATAATAATAAAGGGATCTATACAGCAAGAAGACATATCACAAATATATATGCACTCAACATTGGAATTCTCAGATATATAAAGCAAATATTATTAGACATAAGGAATGAGACAGACCTAAATATGATAATAGTGGGGACCTGCACACTCCTTTCTCAATGCTAGATATAACATCTAGGCAACAAGTCAACAGAGAAACACAGGATTTAAATCACACTTTAGACCAAATGGACTTGACAGATATCTACAGAACATTTCATCCAACAACCACAAAGTATACATTTTTTTCATCAGCACATGGAACAGTCTCCAGGATAGACCACAAGGTGGTTCACAAATCAAGTCTCAACAAATTTTTAAAAAATTGAAACTGGAACCAAAGAGAGCTGTTTCTAGAGAGGATTCTGTGAAGCCTGGTGCCCATCTAACAGTGAAGAAAAATTTTGTTGGTGGTACTAGAGAAGATACAGAAAAATATAATTTGAGAGACTGCTTTGAAAAATATGGCAAGATTGAAACCATAGAAGTTATAGAAGACAGGCAGAATGGGAAAAAGAGAGGATTTGCTTTTGTAACTTTTGATGATCATGATACAGTTGATAAAACTGTTGTTCAGAAATACCACACTTTTAATGGGCATAATTGTGAAGTGAAAAAAGCTCTTTCTAAACAAGAGATGCAGTCTGCTGGATCACGAAGAGGTCATGGAGGTGGAGCTGGCAACTTTATGGGTCATGGAGGAAATTTTGGAGGTGGTGGAGGTAATTTTGGCCATGGTGGAAACTTTGGTGGAAGAGGAGGCTATGGTGGTGGAGGTGGTGGCAGCAGAGTTAGTTATGGAAAAGGTGATGGCGGTTATAATGGATTTGGAGGTGAGGGTGGCAACAATGGCAGTAGTTCTGGTTACAGTAGTAGAGGGGCTATGGTGGTGGTGGAGCAGGATATGGAAACCAAGGTGGTGGATATGGTGGTGGTGGTAGAGAATATGATGGTTACAATGAAGGAGGAAATTTTGGTGGTGGTTAACTATGGTGGTGGTGGGAACTATAATGATTTTGGAAATTATAGTGGACAACAGCAATCAAATTATGGGCCCATGAAGGGGGGTAGTTTTGGTGAAAGAAGCTTGGGCAGTCCCTGTGGTGGTGGTTATGGATCTGGTGGTGGATATGGTAGCAGAAGTTTCTAAAACCAGCAGAAAAGGGCTACAGTTCTTAGCAGGAGAGAGCATGAGGAGTTGTTAGGAAAGCTGCAAGTTACTTTGAGACAGTCGTCCCAAATGTGTTAGAGGAACTGTAAAAATCTGCCACAGAAGGAATGATGATCCATAGTCAGAAAAGTTACTGCAGTTTAAACAGGCAACCCTTCTTGTTCAGGACTGTCATAGCCACAATTTGCAAAAAGTGCAGCTATTGATTAATGCAATGTAGTCTCAATTAGATGTACATTCCTGAGGTCTTTTATCTGTTGTAGCTTTGTCTTTTTTTCATTACATCAGGTATATTGTCCTGTAAATTGTGGTAGTAGTACCAGGAATAAAAAATTAAGGAATTTTTAGCTTTTCAAGAAAAAAAAAAAGAAAGAAAGAAATTAAAGAGGACACAAAAAGATAGAAAAACATTCCATGCTCTTGGATTAGAAGAATTAACATTGTGAAAATGTCCATACTATCCAAAGCAATCTGCAGATTCAATGCAATCCCCATAAAAATACCAAAGACATTCCTCATGGAAATAGAAAAGGCAACTCTAATATTCACATGGAACAACAAAAGACCCAAATAGCCAACGCAATCCTAAGCCAAAAATAAATAAATAAATAAATAAATAAATAAATAAATAAAGCCAGAGACATTACACTACCTGACTTCAAATTATACTACAAAGCTATAGTAACCAAAACAGCATGGTAGTGGCAATAAAAACAGACACTCAGACCAACAGAATGGAATAGAGAACCCAGAAATCAACCCACATACGTACAGCCAACTGATCTATGACAAGAGGAATCAAGAACACACTGAGGAAAAGACTGCCTCTTCGATAAATGGTGCTGGGAAAACTGGACACCCATATGTAGAAGAATGAAACTAGATCCATACCACTCATCATATTCCAAAATCAACTCAAAATGGATTAAAGACTTTTAAATATAAGACCTGAAACTATAACACTCCTAAAAATACCAAACTGTTTTCCTGAAGAAAACACTTCAGGAAGTACAATTGGACAGACTTTGTAAGACTCCAAAAGCTGAAGCAACAAAAGCAAAAATAAACAAATGGGATTATATCAAACTAAAAAGCTTCTGCACAGTGAAGGAAACAATCAATAGAGCAGAAGGACAACCTACAGAATGGGAGAAAATATTTGCAAATTATACATCCAACAAGGGACAAATACCCAGAATATACAAGGAACTCAACTTCACTATAAAAACAAATAATCTAATTAAAAAATTCAAAGAAGCTGAACAGACATTTTTTAAAGAGGAAGACATACAAATGGGTAACCGGTACATGAAGAAATGCTCAACATCACTAATCATCAGGAAATACAAATCAAAACCACATTGAGATATCATCTCACCCTAGTTAGACTGACTATTATCAAAAAGACTGAGAATAACAAATGCTGGTGAGGATGTGGAGAAAAGGGAACTCTTCTAAACCGTTGTTGGGACTGTAAATTAGTGCAGCCATTATGGAAAACAGTATGGAAGTTCCTCAAACAACTACAGATACAACTGCCATACTATCCAACAATTCCACTACTGGGTATAGACCAAAGGAATGGAAATCATGTCAAAGGGATACCTGCACTCCCACGTTTATCACAGCTCTATTTACAATAGCCAGGAGCTGGAACAAACGTAAATGTCCATCCTCAGACAACAGGGTAAGGAAGATGTGATATGTCTACCTACAATGGAATACTACTCAGCCATAAAAAAAGAATGAAATCTTGCCATTTGCAGCAACATGGATGAACTTGGAGCAAATCATCTTAAGGGAAATAAGCCATGTACAGAAAGAAAAATATCACATCCTCAAAGTGGGAGCTAAAAAATAAACAAATAAAAGAAAGAAACAATGATCACAATAATACATTGAACTTTCAAAAGGAGAGAACAGAACTGAGGTTACCAGAGGTGGGAAAGGATGAGGAAGAGGGGGATGGTAAGGAAGAATTGGTAAAGGGCCACAAAAAATGATTACATTGTATAATGTTGAATATACTAATTATCCTGGTTTGAGCATCGCATATTGCACACAGGTATTGATATTCAACTCTGTACCCCAAAGATACATGCGATCAATTACGTTTTTCAAAAATAAACTGTTAAAAGCTTAAAAAAAAATAGGTCATGGAAAGATTCATATTACCTTTCAATTCTATTTTTCCACAAACTTTTCAAAGTACCCTAGTATTTGAGCTCTGTCTGTTGCGAGCGTCCAGGGGGCCCAGTCCCTGGGCCATTCTTCCTGTCTACGGGCTCAAACATTCAGCTGTTGACACTCATTTCAGGCCAGGAAGAATTCTTATGAATTTAAACATATGTCTCACAGTCTTCTCAAATAGGACACATGTCAGCCAAAGAACACAACGCCCACCTGGAATCAGCAGAATTGGCTCCTGAGGCCACCCCTTGGTTAGGACTGGACCAATTCCACCCATGTTCCTGATAGCATGACCCATACATTTAAGGTGGGTGATGGTTAGTGATCTAGTTTTCAAGTCAGTTACCAATTGCTAAACATAGAAACTGGATAAATTTCAATATTCATTTAGAAATTAATTTTATGATGCTGTCCTAAGTATTAAAATACAGGTTATACTTAAATCATTCAAAGTTTGGCATGTTCACACATGTGCACAAAGTATTTGATAGATATTTACACACTGGGAGACACAATTATGGTCTGACTTTGGAGTTTTGGCAGATCTGGGTTCAAATTCTGGCAAGTTTCCCTACTAGCTTTTTTTGGGTGCGTGTGATCCGAACCCTCGGGCGGGAGCGCCGCCGCGCTTCCCAAGCGGCGCACTATCCAGTGCGCCACCGGGCCGGCCCATTTTTGAAGACCCAATTACTCCTCTTTTAAAATGTTTAGCAGGTCAACATCTTGTAGAGAAGATCATTTTCTTTCTTTTTAATTGACAATTCAAAATTGTATATGTTGACAGTGCACAACATGTTTTGCTATATTATGCACTGTGAAATGGCTACATCAAACTAATTAATGCATGCATTACCTCACATACTTTTCAGGGTTTTTTTTTTTGTGGTGAGATAAAAATCTCTTAGCAATTTTAAAGTATACAGATGCTGTTATTAACTGTAGTCACCATGATGTACAATAGATCTTCCTCCTATCTAACTGGAATTTTGTGTCCTCTGACCGACATTTCTCCAGTCCCCCACCTCTAGCCTCTGGTAACCACTTTACTCTCTATTTCTATGAGTTCAACTTTTTTACACTCCACATATACTTGATATCATGTGTTATTTGTCTTTCTGTGCTTGCCTTATTTCACTTAAAATAATGTCTTCCAGATTCATCCATGTTGTGGCAAATTACAGAATTTCTTTTTAAGCCTAGATAGTCTTCTACTGTATATACACCACATTTTCTTTATCCATTCATCTGTTGATGTACACTTAGGTTGATTAGAGAAGATAATTTCTAGAAGGAACTTTGTGAGCCAGGCCTATTTGCCATCTTATTCTTTACATAAGAAAAAAAAAAAAAGAAAAAGGTTGGGGGGAACCCACACATTTGTTCTGGAGTTCTTCAGCTCAGTGTCTTGTAAAGAGCAAGCACCACTTTATTTAATGCATCCAATTAAAAAAATTATGTAGCAAGGCTTTCCTAGTTTCTTTGCTTTTATATAGATAGGTGTTGCAGGTTACTTACAAAAACAAAAGTATCTAGATCAATATTTCTTAAACTTGGCTGCACAGTAGATTCACCAGGAGGGGGTGTTAAAAAAAAAATCCCAATGGCTGGGCATCACCCTGAATCAATTAAGTCAGAATGCCTGGGGAAGGGACCAGATTTCAGTAGTTTCTCCAGCTCCCTAGGTGATGCCAATTTGTGGCTGGGGCAGCAGAAGGTAAGAACCACTGCTAGGAGAAAGCCAGAATGAGCCTTAACTTGTTTGTATGAAGGTCATGATCTCGATTTTCGAGAAACTTTTTACTGAATGTTTGTTACAGAGGTTTTGCTTAATGCACTGGTGCTTCCCATAGCGAGAGCCACCAGTGGTGGCACACTGGACAGGTGCCATTTGGTGCACATACACAAAAACATGTCATTTAACAACACTGACTCAGAGTGAAACATTCTTTTCAGTTCTTTAACATGCCAGATGCTATCCAGGATGAGCCTCAGGTGCTAGTCGGTTTCTAACACTTTTCTTCAATTTACTAATCTTTCTTTTTTCTTTTTTTTTTTTTAAAAAAGTGACTAATATTTAGGCTCAACATGTAATCTAAGATTTTTAATAAAGAGTTTTAAAAAGGGGAGATTTAAAAAGGGGAGAGACTGTGTTTTATTGTTTATCTCTCTGGCTGTGAGTTACAATGCTGGCCGCCTAGGGCAGGGTCCATCCAATGCCACCACTTTGGGCCACAATAAGAGAGAGTCCCCATCATTTCTCCTCTAAAGGGAGCAGGCTCTTCACAAAGTTAGATGAGAGCTTGCTACAGAAGCAAAAAATGGGCTGAAGGAGTCTATCTTTAAATTTTCCATTATTTATTTGCCATCAAATAAGATGTAACATGAAATGTACCTTCTGCTGAATTTACTCATTGGGGTCATTGATCTGTCCTTCTAAATAGATGACCCTGAATATGGCAGATTTACACCTTTTCCTAGTTTACAGTTAATAATAAGGCCTATTGTATGTAGTAAATAAAAAAATTAAATATCAAGTAAAAGTGTAGTTCAATAGGATAACATTGTTTTCTTCAATTGCTTTTGGGGCTTACCTATTATTTGTTACAAGGAATGCTGATTTTCCATTTGAAAGTGAAATAATTCCTTTGAAAGTAAGTTTAAGATGAGATTTAATTAAGAAAAATACAGATAATAAAGACTAGAGCTATGACAAATTTTGAAGATGGTATACAAATAACAGATTTGGCAAGTACTGCCTCAAAAAAATAAAAGTTACTACATTACCAATGTCTTTATCTCTGGCTTTTTGTCACTCTTGAAAGCAGAAGCTGCCCTAAAACAAAATACATCAAATTAGTGGAGCAGGTACAACTACAGCCTTCCACCTTCCCTTACTTCTCAGCCCTTTTTCTTCATGCCCCCTTTGTGACTAGTTTGTGTTTTCTTTCAAATAGGCTTTACATTTATGTCTATAATCCGTTTTTAGTTATTTTTTATATGATAGAAGGTCATTTATTTTCTTACATATCGGTACATTTGTTGAAAAACCTAATAGTTCTCCACTGAACTGTCTTTGCATTTTTGCCATAGATTGGACAAATATATGCACAGTCCATCTATCTGCAGGTCTATTTCTGGACTTCATAGTCTGTTTTGTTTGTCTGTCTATCCTTATGTCAATAGTACACTGTTTTGATTAATGTAGCTTTACAGTAAATCTTGAAAGCAAGTAGTGTCCTATTTTGTGTTTCTTATTGAATTTGTTTGGGCTATTGCAGGTCCCTTAAATTTCCACATGGAAATTAAAAATAGCTTGCCACTCAAAAAAAAAAAACAAATAAACAAACAAACAAACAAGCAAAAACCTGCTGGGACTTGAATCGGGGACTGTACTGACCATAGATCAGCTTGGGAAGAATTGCTCTGTTAACACTGAGTCTTCCATCCTATGAGCACAGTATGCCTCCATTTATTTAGATCTTTCTTAATTTCTCTCAGCAATGTCCTGTAGTTTTCAGTAGGGGAGGTAGAGGAAGGGTCTTAATCTTTTGTCAAATTAATCCCTAAATATGTCATATTTTTAATACTATTATAAATAGCATTGCTTTTTATTTCAATTTGTGATTGTTAACATACAGAAAGAAAATTAATTTTTGTGTATTGATCTTGTGTCCTTTAATTTCAGATTCAGTGTTTTGCTGCAGAAAAATACATTGCCAAAAATACTCGTAACTCAAGAGGTATAATGAATAGTAGAGGTCTGCAGGTCAGGGGGACTTGCCGGCACTGCTCAAGCTGTTCTGCAGACAACCTCACACAATGCTCTCTCTGTGTGCGTGCGTGCGTGTGCGTGCGTGCGTGTGCGTGCGTGCATGTGCGTGCATGCATATGCATGTACGTGTTGCGGGGCGGGGGGCAGCTGCAAGAAAGGGGGAAAGTTCACATTAACAATGATCTACATGGTTTATCAGTTTTAAAATCACTTACCTAGATTCCTCATCCAGCTTAGGAGTCTGAACTATATCTAACGATTTTTGTAAATCTGAAGACTCCTCATGTTTTGAAGTAACTTCTAATGAAAATTAAAAACAAAAAAATATTACACATCTCAAGTAAACCTGTAAATATACTACTCAACTCTTACTGATGAGAGGTAAAAAATATCTGACCTTGCTGTGTATCATCCAGTTTAAATTTTTCAGGTAAACTATCAACTGTATTTTTTTGCTGCAGAAAAAAAAAATTATTATGATACCTTTGAAGCCTTCTTTTGAAAGTCTTGTGTAACCACTTTGCACCTTGTAAGAAAAGCACAGCCACTGAATACTAAGATACCAGTCTCTTTATTCATTAATAAATAAATTTGTTGGCTCCAGATGACTGTTTGCTATTTTAAAATAACTCATATCCATCCTCAGGAAAGCATTTGCCACTCATGAAGACAATCACAGAGTGTGTCACGGGTACTAAGAAAAACACCAGAGGAAGACTTACAAAATGTCTTCAACAGCATCAGTACTGTTGGGATAAATGCACAGCTTCCCATGGATACTACATAAAAGGTGACAATTTATCTGGAGGAATAATCTCTGGTATGTTTGTTTTTAAAAAGAATCATGACACCATATGACACTTCCGTGTAGTGTATTCATGCAGCCAAGCACAAGAAAAAGAGGAATGGACTAAAAACCTATAAATGGCACGCAGGGCATCGGGTGCTCTATGAACATTTCTTTGTCATCCTAGGGGGCCACACCTGTGATTAGCTGTTACACCCATTTTATGCTTGAGAAGCCTCAGGCTCATCGATGTTAAGTACTTTGACCAAGTTCCTATGAAAACCACATCTGACTCCAAACATTAGCCTCCTTTCCCTACATCTCAGTCTGCAGATCCCGAGTGAGGGAATGAGGCAGAGGCCAGCCAGGTCACGCATTCCATGGGAATGCCAAGTTGTGAAAAAAGGGAATCCATAAACATGGCAGGCAAAAATAATTTAAAGGAGGGGGTGGTTGAAAACTCGACAGATGATTGGCCAGGAGAAAATGGTCTACAGACTAGGAGAGGCGGCTCCCACCTGTCAGTACCTTAGTGGACACAGTTCAGAACCTTGTCCCCGACTCCCTGTACTCACGGGTGGCTCAGACTGGTCATTCAAGAGCGTTATGAAGGAGTGGTCACCTGCGGCACTCAAGTCCTCTGCCAGGAGGGTGGATTCATCTGCCTGCTCTACAGTAAGAAAAGAACATTTAAAGTGCTAATAACCATGCACAACGCTGGCACGCCCTCCATGCTCTTCATGGGACACACACTGCTGGTACGTTGCCTTCTGTCAGTAAGAGCTGGTACATAGTCCTGCCTCAGACCTTAGATCAGCAATCTGTGGGCACTGGGAAAGACAGCCTTGGGACATAACTCAAAAGAGATGTAGAATCGAGTGCAGGGTTGGCTGTGTGGGGAGGCAGGACCTTTCCTGCCCTCATCTCCTGCCAGCCACACTGTCTGTCTTCTTCTGTCATTTCCACCTGACCCACAAGAAACACTTTATCAGGTGTGGGAAACGATGCAAGCCTATCAGCAGCTCTTCTTTGTCCGGAGCTAAGATGGATCACTTATGAATCTAACATGATCACAGGTTTCTAGTGACCTTTTCTTTTTTTTTTTTTTCCTTTTTGTCTTTTTTACTGACCGGCAACGGGATCGCAACCCTCGGTGTTGCGCCCGCACCATGCTCAGCCAGTGAGCGGGAACCGGTCTCCACATGGGATCCGAACCCTCGGCGGGAGCGCCGCCGCACTCCCAAGCGGCACACTCTCCAGTGTGCCACCGGGCCAGCACTCTAGTGACTTTTTCTGAGTAAGGTTTCATCAGTGCTTTTATAGGGAATTCAGAGTCAGGACCTATTTCCCAACATACCTCTTTCTCTCTCATGACTACTAAGAATCTTACTGTCTTCTTTCTCAAACGTACTGGAACGTTCTGGGGAGATTTTCATCTGGTTAAACAACATCTGAAATGCAAGCCAAGTGACTTTTAAAAGCAGTAATCCTTAAAAAACAGTTTAACAGAAAACTTAAAGCTTAGAACACAGCACACTGATAAATTAGAAGTTAGAGTTCAGCTTGTCCTCTCTAAAAGATTGTTTCACCGTTTCCAGCTTCTCCATCCCTCCCTCCCTCCAGCCCCAGCTCTGGCTGACCACTGCCCTGCTCCTGACCACGCTGCCCTGGCGTCTCCACGACCTCTCTCTCTCTGGCCCAAGTCCAACCCCACTGGTAACTTCCGACCCCTGTGCCACGCAGGGACTGAGTCTCTCTCAGGACGGATCTGCAGGTGAGTTCCCCACAGCACGATCCTCCAGCCACCTGGTCCTCACAGGAGCTGCGGCTTCATCGCATGCAGACCCCAACTCACCCCCAGGACATTTTATTCATTTTGCAAAATGTGGAAACATATAATATTTTGGTGTTTTTCATTAGTAAAGGCAAACCTGTCGTGCAGAGGAGGTTTTTTTTTTAATCAGGTGATTGATTCACCTTTACTTCTCATCCTCACCCATGACATGGCTTCTCAGAGTCCTTTGGAAACTAAATTTGTGGAGCACCTTACTACATATAAACACCTTCATATACAATTCAAACCAAAAGGAAGCTGGCCTAAGACTTCCTCCCTCTGTGACCTCAAGTTCAGCTCCCTAGTAGCCATGACAAAGTATTTTATATGTCCTCTTTTCACAAGTTTCTCTGCCCTGCCTACAATATGTAATAGAGAAAGGCCTCTTCTTGTATAAAAATAGGAAACATTACAGTCAGAGAGATGGAGTCCACAGCAATCTAGAAGAGGCACAGACCATTTCCACAAGGTGAGACCAGTATATAAAACTGTGGAAAACTCCCTAAGAAACCCCATTCCTGAAGATCCCCCCCTAAGTCCAGGAGGAGCTCAGAGAGGAGGAGACAGGAAGCCCACAGTGAGTATCCTCAGAACTCCAGGAAGAGTGTGGGAGGGAGGTGATGCTGTCCTAGAAAAGCTTTCGACTGTCACATCAAATGGAATAAAGCACTTCAAGGGACAAAGAGGCTCTGTATCCTACATAGTTAACGACACATGAGAAGGAAGAACTGGGACTAGAACCAGAACCCTCAACACTTTCTACATGGTATGCAAAAGACCGAGTCTTCTGCTCGATCAAATGTTCACATCAAAACCCAATGAGGACATTTAAGAGACATAAAACATACTAAAACATTTTCAAATAATCAGAAGAATGAAACCTGCCACCTGTTTATCCTCTCCTAAAGCTTGAATGGAAGCATGTGATATGTCGAATTGCAGATCAAAATGGATTTCTATTTTTGTCACTTCTTTGCTACTGATAATAATAGGCTTCTTCAGGTAAATGATAAATGTCTTCATCTTCTCAGTTTCTAACAAAAAAAAAAAAAAATAGAGTATATCAATGCGTATCACCATACCGAAAGGTTTTATCTTGAAATTTTATATTTTTAAATAACTGCATTGAGATACTTGTCAACCGTCCAGATTTTTCTATGATTAATAGTTGAAAAGAAATTACATTAAATTCCTTAGAAATTATTTTTATTAGATACACACATGTGCATCTAGTGGTTAATCATAACCACTTAAGTTGTTGATCTAGCAAAAATAGGAAGTAGTTTTCCCTAGAGGCAAAGAAATGAAGATAGTTTTGTCTTTTGCAATTCAATCACTTTTTTAAGAGCATTTTGTTTATACAAAGCTATCATCCACAACAGGTATTTTACTTCCAAATATACTAAGCATAACATTCATTCATTCTCTCTGAAATCCTACTTATTTCTAAAATTCAAAATAAAGTTCACTGTTCCCAATATACAAAATGAAATAATCCACCTCCGTTTCAACAGACTCCTCTTAAAGAGGAGAAGTGGAAACCTTTTAGAAATCTACATCTCAGACAATAGCTTCCTTGAGGGCTTCCTACCAGGAGATCAGCTCTTTACAGACAAATAATAATTTAGAAGAGAAAACGCTTAGATCAAGTTTACAAAGTCCAAGAATGAGCCACAATAAGTACAAGGTAAGGTGGAAACAGCAGAAGAGAAAAGGCAGTGAAGTCCGTGAAAGAACAGGCAAAGTTAATAGCCACACACTGATGGGAATGGAAAGTCAGTGCTTTGTGCTGTCCAGCACAGTGGAGCACTTGAAGCGTGGCTCATATACACTGAGATGCACTGTAAGCATGTGATACACGAGATTCGAAAAATACAAAAAAGGAGAAGGCAAAATATCTCATTAACAATACATTATACTGAGTACATGTGAAAATAGTATTTTGGATATATTGGATTAAATGAAATATAAAAATTAATCCACTTTATTATTGATGTGGCTACTAGACTACTTAAAATTAAATACATGGCTCGCGTTATTTCTATAGGACAGAATTGGTCAGCAATCTCCCCAAAATACTGATCTTACTGGATACTTACTCATCACTGCAGGGAAAGTCTATAAAACCCTGCAAGAAAAATAATTCTAAAAAAAAAATCTGAAAAGTTAACTAGGTAGGTGGGCTTGTAGGGAACACTGGAAACACATAAGGGTCAGTAGAAAGACCGTGAGAAGTACACCAAGCTTCTGACTTACTACATTGCCAACACCTAAACCAGAAGGGTGTGTACACAAACTCTTGCTTGTAGAGTTTACTAGACAATCTTCAGTTTCCTTGGCTACAAAACTGGAAACAGTAACACCTACTTACTCTAGATACTGTGAGGTACTTTGTAAAGTCTCACAGAAATATGGTATATTAATGAAATATAGATTAATTTTGGCAAGTTGGTCCCAAAAACCACTACAGTGGCAAACTTTAGAGTTACAAAATTTAAAATAAGAAAAACAATGTTAGGGCTACCCCAGTCAGGAAACCCAGAGAAGTCCTCATAGCATACTTATATTTACTTACAGTAAATATCAGTGACATTTTATGTATCTTAAATTAAAACTAACAGGTAATTACTACATAAATTGAGTTACTCTTCTTTATATTTATTACATTTAGTTTACATTTCTAGTGAGATGTTTGTAAACTGCTTGCCTCACTCCAGATAGGAGGCACCTCTAACTCAATGGAGACTGTCTTTCCAATTCTGCGACTGCATAATCGCTGGCTTCCACCTCTTTCCATCTATTTTGGTTTTCTCAACTCCCCCTTCTCAGATGCCAACAGGTATCGTTCCAAACTCTGGGCTTACTTTTCTTCATCCTCCCTTCCTTCTCCTAGAGTTCACTGTGAAGGTTTCTTCTCTTCTGGCACTTTCTTTACTTTCTAATTTATTCCTTATCCTAAATTCCCCTCTTTTTTCTAATAATCCCCAACAGGAGAAACTCAGAATTCTTGCACAGTGGAACAAATTCTCACAGGCAGAGAAAAGAACTACATCAGGGAAAATTGTAAATGGTTTTGAAATGGACCAAGGAGTTACTGGGTGCCTGTCTACCACACCCTCCTGGGTTATCTGCATCTTTCATTGTCTTCAAGCTATTTTAAAAAACTGATAACAATGCAAGGGATTTTTGTCCATAGAAATGCAAACTAATTGTGTCTGTGGAATGCAACTGTCTAGTTTTGCATCTATTTGTAGATGAATTTCAGCATTGTTTATGTGGTTCTTTGAATTCTCCCTTGAACTAGTTACTATATCTTACTGATATCCTTGTTAATAAACAAAATCCTCAACACATTCACTTTATAATTGTCATGATTTCACCTTCTCAACAATTATCTTTTAACAGGACATTTAAGTTAATTCATATATACAAGAAATTCCAGCAAGGGGAACCCAGAGATGAAGGACTATCCTTAAATAGTCCCATGGGAGAATTTTCAGTTAGAGTTGAAGGTTAGAAAGGATTTTTTTCTCCAAGACTTAATCATATTACAGGTCATGTTTCTCTTATTACCCTGGCTTCTAGGAAGCTAAGTATCAAATCCCCACGGTGGCCACTGTGGAGTAGCCTTCATGACAGATGTTTTTATTCCTGTCTGTGGTTCCAATTTTCTATTTCTATTACATTGGCATAAATGTATAAGCTGCTTTAAATCCTTTGTAGAAAGAAGTGAAATATAATATTCATAAATTACTTAATATTTAGTTTTAACTCTTTAGTAAACCTAGTTACTTAGAAATGTATGCATAATAAGTTACTTTCAAAAACATTCTTCTATTTTTTTAAAGACAAGTCAGAAAACATGATCAAATACGACTATAACTAAAATGCTGAACTGGACTAACAGCTTACTCACACACACTCAGAAAAGGATCACTCCTCATCCCATGCCCCTTAGTGCCATCTACCAAGCTGAGTTGAAAGGTGAGAGATGGAGGCTTCAGGGGGAAAGAGGTCAGAGAGCTGGTATTTAAGTAGAGGTGGTACCACCCATATACACTCATCAGTTATTACTACAGCTCCGTGGGTGAGGAAGGGCGGGTACTATATAATTTATTTTCTTAAATTGTCATAAATAAAACACCCACATGAAATAAAATTTACCATCTTAGTTATTATGTGTACAGTTCAGTAGTGTTAAGTATATTCACACTGTTGTACAACAGATCTCCAGAGCTTTTTCATCTGGCAAAACTGAAACTCTCCATCCATTGAACGACTCCCTATTTCTCCCTTCCCCAGCCCCTGACAACCCCCATTCTACTTTCTCTCTATAGATTTGACCACTTTAGAGAGCTCGTATACTTGTAAGTGTTATCATACAGTATTTGTCTTTTGAGGACTGGCTTATTTGACTTAGCGTAATGTCTTCAAGGTTCATTCATGTCGTAGCATGTGTCAGAACTTCCTTTCTTTATGAAGCTGAATAATACCCCCATTGTATGTACCCACCACATTTTGCTTATCCATTCATTCCTCAATGGACATTTGGGTTGTTTCCACCTTTTGGCTCCTGTGGAAAATGCTGCTTTGAACATATGCATACAAATATCTCTTCGAGATCCTCCTTTCAATTCTTTTGGCTATATACCCAGAGGTGGGATTGCTCGATCATATGGTAGTTCTTCTTTTAATTTTTTGAGGAATTATACCATTTTTACAATAAGAAAACTAGGTCAGTGATTTAACCCTAAAGTCACAAAGCGAAGGAGTCACCAACCCTGTCACCCCTATATCCTGGCCTTGAGCACAGTACGCCTCACACTGTACTACACAACCTCTCTTCCACCTCAAGGCATGATCAAAATCTGCCCTAGAATGAACTGAACATATACTGTAAATATAAACAAAAACAATACTCAGAATTAAATGGGGGGTAGTTTAAAATCATCCTCTTACCTATTATGCTGAAATTAACCACTGCTTCCTTCAAAAGTCTCACTGAGTCCCACAGAAGATTCTTGGGAAGATAAATAAGTGACATTCATGAGCAAAGAAAACATATTTATGCATGAACAGTCTCTAAGTGGTTACATCTAATCAGGAATCAAACATCATTACCTCAGCATTGTCTATATAAAAAGTTACACTCTGACTTCCTAGGTTGAAATCAATCCAAAATTTCTCTAATTTTTCATCTGCTGGTTTTCTCATCTGTAAGAGATAATTTCAGCGTGAATCATACACATAAAAATTATGTTAAAAGGTGAGGTAAAAATTATCCTGTTAAAAACAGAACTTGTGCTTTTCCTGAAATGGCACTATCCTGATATTACAGAACCTCTCTTTATTTCTCAACTCACTGTGCAAAAACAGGAGGAGGACGTCAATTTTAAATAAGCCATTTCCAAAATGAAAAAATATGCTAGCCTTAGCATATTTAATAGATATTTAAATGTGTCACATAGCTCTAGCCACTCAATTCTTTTTCTGGTGAGAAGAACAGAGAAAATAATTCTATGTTGAAGCAGTAACAATCTACACTGTACTTGTATGGAAACTTCTAGAGAAGGAGATAGCGTGATAAAATATAAGTGTCGGGCCGGCCCAGTGGCGCACTTGGTAGAGTGCGGCGCTTGGGAGCGTGGTGGCGCTCCCGCCGAGGGTTCGGATCCCATCTAGAGACCGGTCCACTCACTGGTTGAGTGTGGTGCGGGCGCGACACCGAGGGTTGCGATCCCATTACCGGTCACGAAAAAGACAAAAAGGAAAAAATATATATATAAGTGTCGATTTACCATCCATTAGATGTAGGAGAGCTAAGACTTGAAGATTTCAAATTACCTTCATTTAAATTGATTATTATAAAATAAATATAGGGTCATAGTAAAAACAGAAGAAAAAGAGTCAAACAGGATGGTATTTACGGAAACAGTAATTGTCTCCAATGCCTTCCCCCAGCAACTTACACAGAAACCTTTCATAGCACCATTAACAATGCCTTTGTTTCCTCCCAGAGGTTTTCTAGAAATATATCAGTAAGTGTGTATAAAGTTTTTATTCCCAACAATGAAGCAAACCTTAGACTTAACTATTCTACAACATGCTTTTCCAATGAGTGGTATTTCTTAGGCGTCTTTCCTTCATCAAACATGCCTACTTTTTTAATAGCTATGGAGCTGAATGAAGATTTTTACCCACAATGTGTGTCGCTAGAAGCCAGTGGAAAGATCCTGATTGAAACTGATGGAAATGTGGAAGTCCTAGAAACAAGGAGAACCAAGCAGAGAGTGGAATCCTCAGACAACCAAAGGAAAAATAAACAGAACTGAGATACAGGGAACAATCTTCCAAAAGCAGTTCCAGAGAGAAGGCACATGTAGTGCAGTCATGAGCTGAAGGCTCAGTTCATAGAGGCCAAGAAGGGGGGTCCGAACCCAAAACAAAGAAAGAGTTGATGAGCACATTCTAGAAACAGGTTCCAGGAAACCTTAGCCAAGTCAAAGCTCCAAGAGCCCTGAAGATTTGCCTCGAAATTGAGATGCTGTAGGTTGGGGCTCCTTTACCTGAAGGACCTTGTTCCTCTAGAAACCAAAAAAGGGGATGAAAATAAACTAGTCAACCTTGAACTATAAAGTACAAGGTGAAATGAACTAGAGAAAAGGAGAGTGACCCTCCTGGGTGGAGATACAGGGAGAGGCACCAACTGGAAAGAAAGAAGCAAGAAAATCATCCTTCTTCCTCCAGTGGAGGCATGGATAATGTTACCCACAGAATAAAATGAGGCAAAGTTCCTGTAATTAACCTTATGTGTACAGTGCAGACCCTAAAACTCCTTTTTCTGGTTCTGGTTGATTATCTCTAATCCAAAAATCCAAAGTCCAAAATACCACCAAATCCAAAACTTCTTGAGTGACAACACAACACTCAAAGGAAACGCTCATTGAGCATTTTGGATTTTGGGATTGGGGGTGCTGAACCGGTAAGTATAATGCAAATAGGCTAAATCTGAAAAAAGTCCAAAATCTGAAACATTTTTGGTCCTGAGCACTTCAGAGAAGGGATTCTCAACTTACAGTAACAGAAGAGCCTTGAACTTTACTGGTAATGCATCCCGGTTATGGTATTACGATCAGTTTGAGATTTGAGATCACTGGGGGAACTTAGTATCCTTTTTTTAAAAAAAGCCCTTTTGAATAACAAGAGCAGAAGTCCGACCTAACTACATAAACCAATCTATGAGTTTTGTTACACACCACCCTCAGGACCTCCAAGATAGACAAACATACCTCATGCTCATCAGCAAAAGCAGCAACACAAGGAAATGAATAGACCCTGCAAAACACATCAAAATTAAAACATAAAATATGGATAGACCATAAACACAACCTAAAGATGTTCTGCAGCAAGCATTTATAACCACAGTATGCCAGTAAGTCTCCCTGTCCAGAGTATGGTATCAAACCTGCAAATAGAAATCTACTATGGGTGGATTCCACACATCCACCTGGCAGTCTATGTGCCACTTCTTAGTCCTATGTCTCAACCCAGCTTCTTGGCAAGATTCCCACAGGAGTGAATTTAGAAAATCTTGTCTCATTGAGGATTTAACTGTCCATAATACACCTATCCCCAGTGATCTCAAGACTTCAGGAAATTATCCTTTATAAAATCTATGGACTCCCTAAAGGATGTAAGGTTAAAAACATCACAAATCATAAATAAATATGAGGGTCTTTCAAAAAGTTCATGCAAGTATTCATATTATCTTTTAATTCCATTTTTCTATAAACTTTTTGAAGTACCCTCGTATGCTAGAGACTGATAGAAATAATTTCTGAACACAGTCAAATGAGCCACTAGGCAGAGCCGAGTTGGTCTTTTAAGGTTTCTGTGCAATGAACAAGTCTGGAGCGCTCATTAAACGATGTATCCTATATTCTCTCCGAAAGTAAGATAGGTCCTGGGTGTTCTTTTAAAACGTTATACAGTTTCAGAATATAACTAGTCAATAAAATAATGCTCATACAGACATCTTACCTTCTTTGGTCACCAAGTCTATTGTTTAGGTCATTGAGAAAACATCTACAGTCCTGCAAAGTAAATAATGCAAACTTTTTAACTAAAAAAATCAAGGTATCTTATTTAATGCCACCCTGACCAGCACGTAGAGGCCAGTGTTTGCTTCTAAATGTCCAGGACCCAGTAACATCAGGCTTCACAAGGATTCATTATTATATGTTAACAATACTTTATACCACAAAGAGGAGGCTCCAGGTACATGTTTCTAGAAGAAATCCTGTCCCCCTTCCTGGGCCATTAGACTTTCAACTGAGGACTACTTAGGTCTCCAAAAGTTACATGCATGATTGTGTTTCACTATGTCATAAGGGTAAGCAACAGAAATATGGGAGTACTTTAAAAAGTTCATGGAAAGATTCATACCATCTTTTAATTCTATTTTCCACGACCTTTTTAAAGTACTTGCATACATCTCACTGCCAACCTAGATTACAATATTTGACCCATTCACGGCCTCCACCTCCCTGACAACTGCCTGGCACAAGCCAACCACAAACCCACAGAATCAATTTCAGGTTTATCTGGGTATATTACCCATTGCCAATTTTCTTTTTTGGGAGTTGTCTATCCCCCTACTTCCTGGGATCTCTCACCTGGCATATGTTCCAAGAACAAAGACTATTTTTTCTTTTCAACTATCAGGAAGGTAAATTTGTTGCAAAGAGACATGGCCCCAGGTTTTTGTTCCTTTTTGTGAGCAAGGATTGGCTGCTGTGGTCACACACTCCTCACACTCGGTGTCTAAATTCAGCCCTAAATAGACAGCAGCAGTGTAAGCCCTTCATCTAAGAGCAATTCAATTAAGCTAACGGCTCTGGGGGAAAATGATTTTGGAAACATAATTACTTTTCTCCTATTTTCATCAAATCTCCCTGCAGATAAGGGAACGACACAGACACACAGACGAGAAAGGAAATTAACACCTGAGTGCCCACCACATTCCAGGGACTTCCTGTTTCTCCCACTGAATTCTCACAATTTTGAGAGGGTGTTTATCCCATTTTACAGAAGAGGACACTGAGGCTTCACCAGGCTGCTGCCTCACCAAAATGCATACATCGCATAAGTCAGGGAAACAGGACTCATGCCTGTGGTGGAACTTGAACCCAAGTGTGGGAAAGCCTCCCAGTTCATGGTTTTCCCATTTAGACCACACTGAACCCTGGCTAAACAATCACGACAGATATGTTGCGATAGACTCAGAGCCTGAAACCAAAGGTGCAGATTTATTAAAATCCCGATTACACAGCAGTTTCAACCAAAAAGGCTTTGTTAACATGAGAACTGTTGTTAGTAATTTTACCTTTTCCTAAAAGAGTTTAACCTACATTTTAAGAACTTTTTAAAAGAAGAAGGAAAATGTTGTAGCTATTTCAGGATGAAGGTAGACAGACATCAAAGCCATAAGCTATTTTTGTGCTACTTGAGGACACAATCGCAGTGCACCCAGGTTGTGCAGAAAACACTGAAAAGTGTTTTTCCTCCAAATGGCAGAGGCTGGATGCCTCACAATACAGCCATTCCACAATACTCCTCAGCCACTAGCACGTGCCACACCGATTTTAGACTCCTGCCATCACTGCAAGGCTCAAGTGCTCTTTCTTTTCTCCTCCAATTCTCCTACCCTCCGAGGTTCACTGAAAATTGCTCCCCCTCCAAGACCTTTTCTTTGACTGGATCCATCAAATTCACATAGTTCTGTCTCCAGCCTAAGTTCCCTATAGGCAAGTCCTTCCTATCTGTGTCCCCATATTTGGCCCACAAATATTCCGTTTGTATTGTCTTCAAACTGTTTTGCTTATGTGGGAAACAGGAAGTTTAAGAATGGTAATTTAATCACACTTAAGAAAAAAAAACCCTCGCCTAAGTCCAATGCACAGGAAAGTACTGAGAGGATGCTTATAATAAATACTAACTGAAAAGAAATTTTTATGACCAGGAATCTCACCGTCTCAAATTCTCGGTCCTTAATTTCTTTGAAAGCCTCAGCAATGACATCGTCTTCAAACCACTGATGAGCCAGGTCATCTCTTGACTTTTTAGTCGTCAGTCTACACAATGCTTCAGAAATAGTAACCTGCTGATCATAATCTAGAGATTAAAAACATGGTAGACATAGATATTTCTGGGCACAAAGTAAAAGGAAAAAATGAGTTTCAGAGTTAGCGTTTGCTCTAAGAAATTCCATCCTAGAAGATTAGCAGTGTGTCTTATCGTTTAAGCAGCAAGATGTATTATGGAGTAATTATAATCATATACATTCAATATTTAATAAATATTAGGAGAAAATCTAAATATGTCAACATATAACAATTTTTTAAATAAATGATATTTCTGGGTTTTATATTTTAGATATATTAAAATAGGCATCAAAAGAAGATCAAATAGCCTGAAAAATATTTCTACTATAAAAATAAAATACCGGTATAGATTGTGGTAAGTCATAGCAGATAAACTAAAACTACATGTATCAGCATGTTTAAGTCTCGAATAATTTTGAGGGTAAAAAAGGAGTTGCAGCCAGATATGTCCAATAGGACGGAATTTATATAATCCTTTTTAAATGTGCAAAACAATAATGTATATTGCTTATGCATACATAGAGTAAAAGCAGAAAAAATGATAGGGAATGGAAAACAAATCCAAGCCAAGGAGTGGGGAATGAAATAGGAAACATGGACACAGGGGACTTTAGCTGTGACTCTGAATATTAAAAAAAAAAAAAAAAAAAGACTTGAAACAAATGGGTCAAAATGCTAAAATTGGACAAAGCTGACTGGCGAGTCAATAAATATTCATTAATTTTTCTTTACGGTTTTTCACATGCTAAAATCTCTCAAAATAAATTTAAAATAAAATCTTAATTCCTATTTTCAATGTGACCGTAATTTATTCCCCATAATTTCAAGATGCTTATAATGCCCCCCCCCGTGTCCAATATTTAATATTCCAGGTATTTAAAATTCTAAATACTTCTTACCACCCACAGTCAAGATTGTCCTTGCAAGTTCTTTCCTGAAACATTTAGATAAATTACATTTTACTGAAATGAACATCAAGAGGGAAAACTTTATTATACTAGCATTAAAATTTAAAACCAAGGTACATCTTTATGGAATTATTTCAAATGCAGCATCAGAATTTTTAAAATGTCAATAGTACATTTTTATGGAAAATTCTTCAAGTTTATATATTAATGATATATACGTATTTTTTTAAGAAAGCAGAGCTACTACACACTCTGAGGTTCTATTTGCCCTCCTGTAAAGTGAATTCAGTTTGACGATCTGTAGGATTCATCGAGTGCTATGATTCCAGAGTTTTATAATCACCTTACCAGCCTGTGAAGGTGTATGTCCTTTTCCGGTCTTGGGAGTCTTCCCTATGAGCTGTTTGATCTTATTTTAAAAACTGATAAATTTAACTTAGAGATGCAATGGGATTAAGTTATTACATTATTTTAACAAATATAGACTCCCATATTGTATATTCACTTAAGAATTTCAATTGTATGCTAACAAATATGATGGAGGTCTTGTTAATGCCTGAAATAACTCCCATTTTAAAGAATAGACTTGTTAAAAATTCATGTGAGAGTTCAGATTCTCATAACAAACAGATTGATTTGTTACTATTAAATAGAAGCCTTAAAACAGTACCAACGAGAGTTGTGCTTAATTTTGTTTGCAAGTTCTACCTTTGAAGTCCGGAACATTCCAGACTTTCTAGAACACACAAACGGCTTTGTGCAGTGGCAGTATTATAGCTAATGATGTTTATCTGAGGTGTGATTATTGCTAATTGAACACATAAACAATAAGGTAGTATGACCAAAAGATTAGTTTGGAAACTTAAGAGACAATATCAGGTCAGATGCTTTCCAAACCTAAATACACCATTAAGAGTAGTGATTTTACTAAGGTATTCAATAGATACTTTTTAGGAAAAATTCACACATATGCGCAAGAAAATAAAAGGAAGAAAAAGAAAAGGCTGGCCAGTTGGCTAAGTTGGTTTGAGCCTACTGTTATAACACGAAGGTCAAGGGTTCAGATCCCCATACAGGCCAGTCATCAAAAAAAAAAGAAGGAAAAATCCACTGGAAAAACTACATCTTGCATCTGCAAAGACTAGGTAAGTGGACACACCCAATGGCAATGAGTGCCAGGCTGACCATCACCCTTTGCAGGCCCTACACTGCAGTCAACTCCCGTGAATGACGGCGTGCCCCAACAACACCCTCCGTGCGGGTTACTGGTGAGCACACTCATGTGTTCAGGTTCAAACTTCAAAACAGGGTGCTGGTTTTGTTCTTTCCATGATCACACATTACAACCTTACCTCCAAATTTTATGTTCCAACAGCTATGAAACTGTGACTAGGTCACCAAAAATCAAAAAATCAATCACTTGCAAAATAATTCAAATTCAATGTTCTATGGGTATAGCTAATAACTGGTAACCTTGGAGCATTAACTCTCTACCAGGTAATGTGTCAATCACCTTTAATGGATTGTCTGATTTAATCTTCACAATAACTCTATGCAGTAGGTATTATTGTTGGCTCCACTTTTTAGGTGAGCAAACTAAGGTACAGTGAGATTAAGGGTGTGCTCATGTGCAACTAGCATAAGTAGCAAAACTAGGATTTGAAGGCAAGTGGTCTGGCTCCAGGGTCTGTACTCTTAATATTCTTCCAGGAATCACTGAGTTCACATTTACAGTGAAAAAATAATCTACAGCCTCAGAAAGCATTTTGCCTCACAAATTTGATGTAGAAAACAAAACAAAAAATCGGAAAACCCACGCTACTATAAAAGAAGAGCCTAGCAAAGTCTGCCTTTTTCCCTCCGTCCTTCACTGCCTAGCTTAGTGCCTGATACACAGCAGGCACACAAAGCATTCACTGAAGGGACGAATGAAGTCAAGGTCACTTACATAAGACGACATGTGCCTTCTGACAAAGGGAGTTTTTTCCTCTCTTCCCGAGGCACAGCATGCAGAATTAAGTTCAAAGTCCTCAGAGCCTTTCGGAATTGGAGAAGGTATTCAGGGGCAAGAAACAAAATGGAGACAACTTTCTATGCACAACTTTCTGTAAGGTTCCCAGAGCAACTGCTATATCTGTTTTGTTATTTGCAACTCACCTCCTGTTGAATCAAAAGATTTACAGTGTTTTCTGTCACCAGGAGTCCTAAGCTAAGTATGAAGGAATCCAACATCTGAATTTTCCCTGAAAGTAGAATTTTGAAAGAATCAAATTTATGCTAAAAAGAGTAAGGAAATGACTCCTACACAGCAGAAAGAAGTAAAGAGTGAAAGAGGGACAGTAGCAGTAAACAATTCAGGAATGAATCAGTTTACAGTCTTGGCAAGGGACAAATTATAGTCTGCATCAGTCACAGAAACCCCCAGGCCACAAGAGACTTGCAGGACATAGATACCCACTAAAGAAAATAGCAGTGGCATACGCAAAGTGTGACCATTCATTGTTATCATGACACCACAAGCAAAGCTACTTTTTTGGCCAGATGCAGCAATGTGCAAAGGGCAGCTCCTGCACACAGTTTGCTGTTGTTTCCATGTGTTTCTTCCATTTGTGAATTTTATAAAAATAAAAATTTTATAAGGCCTTGCACTGAGAAGTAGAAATGTTTTAATAAAGTGTTGACCTTTATTAAATAGCATAATCACAGAAACTTCAACAGCTATTTATATATTAGCACATAGTAAATAACAGGGTATGTGATAATATTTTATGGTTATCAAACAGTAAATTCTAATTTATGGTTTCATGTATGCACATTATGTTAAGATATAAGATGACAATGGTAGGACATACTGCAAAAACTCACGGTAAGGTCATGCGTAACTTTGTATAATTCTGATATGTGAATTTCTCATCACATACTGTATACTTTTTAACTCGCATATAACTCATGAAATTGTGGGAACCCAAACTAGGAAATAGAAATATAAAAGACCCCTCTTCAGTCCAAACAAGCCACATTGATACTACTGGATGATCTCTGGAAACCAGAAATTCGGCTAGAGTCTTTGCCAACAACCTGCCCACCAGCCACCAGCTTACAACTTGAAGGAAAGATTCTAACAGAGCCCAGCAGGACAGCTGAGGCCTCTGCAGATATGCATGCACACTGTTAACTAGCAAATAACAGGTGCCGTTCCGTGCTTTCATTTTAAGAGCAGTAGAGAAACTAGCAGCATACAGCCCCCTACGAACGAGAGAAGATGAGCATGGTAACTCAGGAGGAAGCAGAAAAGTGACTTTTAAAAAATGCTTACTGCAGGAAACTGAAAAATTTAGGAAGCATCTGATTTGTCTTCTCAAAACTCAGAAGAACATTAACTCTATAAGAAATTAAGTTGGCCAGAGAAAGCAACAGTCTGAGATGAAAATAGATATAAACAAGAAAGAAACATTAAGATAAAAATCAAAACCATTCTAGATATTTCAGTCTGTGGGAACTTAATACAGGGAATAATTACAAACAATAGAAGAGCTTGGAAGCCAAACATGGAACAGGGAGACAGCCCAGATGATAATGTCAGCAGGAGGCCACTACCCCAGCTAAAAGGGTGGATCCTGATGGGGTCGGTGCCATCATAGCGAGAGACACTTGAGAGCTTGCTGGCTCTTTCTCCAACACATGAGGACACAGTGATAAGCCAGGAAGAGAGCACTTACCAGAACCTGACCATGCTGGCACCCTAGTCTTCTACTTCCAGCCTCCAGAACTATGAGTAACGAATGTGTGTTGTTTAAGCCAGACTATGGTGTCTGGCTATGGCAGCCTGAGCAGACTAATATGGTCATCTATAGCAGTGTTTTCTCTAATTAAGGCAATTAGATTAATAATTAGATATTATTAATAAGGCAATTAGATAAATAATTAGGATTATTGCAAGGATTATGTGAATCCAAAAATGCTCCAAGCAATGACCCATAGGCTAGATAGCTCACATATGCATTGTTTTTCAAATATGCAGTATATACATACTGTTGTAATAAAAGACAAGTTTATTTTAAAATGTTACAAAAGTCAAAGTAGTTTTTAACTATTCTATATTTTATCAACAGTAACTATCACTTGTGAAGTTAATAAAGAATTGACTTGAAAATATTTGGATCCACTGACTGAACTTATGAGGACCTCTTTTTAAAGTCGACCCAGCACCACGCATACTTAATCTTCTTGTGCTGAATTTCCTCAATGATAAGATACCATCCACTGTAGAATGTAGTGCCAATCTAATAACAGCTTTTCAAAAGAAAAATAAAAAACGTACCAGAGGAAAAGACACATCCATTTTAAGATGGCCCCAACTTCTGAAATGTTGCTATTTTAAGTGCATTTTTGAATCCGTGGTACCATAATTCGCAATATCAAATTACCTTTAACTTGAGTTAAACTGAACAAAATCATCAATCTAACCTCCAAGTTTTCTAAAATTTTACCTTTTACACTCTTGAAAGACAGGAAAAGTCATCTGAATGAGCTCCAAGTTAAATCAGTAATAGCTAAACTCTTGCTGGTTTGGAATGACAAAGTGGCTTTCCACTACCTGAATATAGTAAGTGGCCAAGAGCAACTGAATAAGAGTGTATCTCAGGCAAACCGAGGCATTCTTTGCAATGAAATGTATTTCAACATCACAATAAGACTACCATAAGGTGGTCAATAAATCCAAATATAATGTTTAAATCCACTTTACTTTTATATATCATTTAAATATTGTTTTCTCTGCACCAGAATATTCTATTAATGAAAAATTAATAGCCAATTCATAGCCAATAATATGCTTACCTTTACTACTACTCCTGGAAATAATCTAATAAAAAGAAAAAGTAAAGCTTATGTTATTTTAAAACAGCATTATGAACTATAACATTAATGCACTAATGCTGGTATTTCTCTAATAGGCAGCAGTTGACTTTAAAAACAGAGGAAAAGAATTTCAGAGAAAGCCTATTTGAGCTTCACTTTATTTAAATGAGCATGTCACCTTTAATCAGATGAATAATATTTTTGTATAAAAATAAATCACCCCTCATTTTTCGGTAACATTGGTTACACATATTAGTATGAGATACTATTTCACATAATATTCTAGTAATAAAACATGGGAGTATTTGAACAAAACTCACATCTTATAGAAAGCCAGATTTTACAAAAACCTTGAAGATTCATACTGATAACCAACTGCACCTGCTCAGTGAAGCATCACCCCCATCCTTACCACAGCAGTGTCAAAGAAGTCTTCTGTAACAGTAGTCAGCAACGTGTCTGAAGCTAGCTCTTCCATGGTCAGAAATCCTCTCGTTCTTTCAAACCAGGAATCCATGTACACAGGAAAAGAAACACTTATGGAACCACCGAGGATTGAATAACTTACTGCCTATTCAATAAAATTTCACAAGGTAATTTTCTCTCTAGAGCAAAATAATCTTAAAAACCTTTTCCCATTTCATAACATTTCAATTAGATCTGACTCTGAGGCCTCCCATCTACAACACCTCAAGATGGAACCATACTGCTAGTCAGTTGTAATAAGTAAGTTCTCAGATATCAGCAAGAATTGGAGACCTGGCCAGACTCGACGCCAGAAAACCATATAAAGGGGCTATCGAGGAAGGTTTAAGAGCTAAATGAACCTCCCCAACACAAGGAGAAATCTTGTGATCTAAGGAGCTATAGAAAACTATCACAGGAGATGCAGGATTTGGAAAGCACTGAAAGTATTCGTGGTTACAGGAAATATGCCTTGAGCTTGGCTACTTTTCTTTTGCCAAAAGCTTCCAGCTAATTGGAGATTTTTTTTTTCTATAGAAATATTTCCAATTTCATATTAAGTTGCTAGGATTGGTATGGTTTAGAAATAAACTTCTGTAACCCCTCCTAGAATATTTACTCAATAAAGCAAACATCATCTTTGAACCATTTTTGCTGACACTGGTCACTCTTACTAAAAAAAGAAAGAAAAAAATCCTGCAAGTATAGTTAGAAATCAATGTTGAACATGAAGTTAGTAACTGAATTTTTAATGAACAACTCTATCAGCAACAGGGCCTTCCAAATTTTGTGCAATTTGTAGCCAAGGCACCCAGCTGAAGAACGTAAGTGAACCAATCAGTTCTCAACCTTGGCTGCATGTTAGGAAAACCTGGAGAGCTCTGAAACGCCTCCCCCACCCCCATTCCTGGGACTCATCCCAGACCCAGTGAATCAGAATCACTGGCAATGGGGCCCAGGCAGTGTTGGTTAAAGCTCTCCACCATCTGAAGCAAACTTTTCTCTGACAGCCCAAGGAAGAAATGTCCCTCCATACAGCAGAACTCACTGCTAAGGCTATATTTTCTCCCTCCCTATATTCATGCTCAAAATTCTATGCTTTTCGATACATTTTTCTTACCATTCCTTCTATCCCCCTAAAGCCTATCTCTCTCTCATGCCCCCAATATATTTGATATAAAGTGGGGGAAACACCCCATTATTTGACCAATACTTGGGAATAGAAAGTGCTCACTGAGCCCATTGATGGGCTATGATCATACATTGTCTCTAACTGACAACCCCCACTGTCCCCACAGCTGTGTCACTACCAGAAGCCAGACACAACAGTAATTACTTATTAGGTGAGGATCTTAAAGTATAGGATGAAATATATTCATTTCTATAGGAAGTTCTCGTTCTATGGAGAATAACTTCCAAACACCTTTGTGTTGAGTCTGCAAACACAATTGTCTTTAGAGGCATAGAGTCTAGTATCCCATTCTCTTTGATAATTTTGATCTATTCTCCTGGCCAAAACCTACATGAAATAACAATATCTAAATTACAGTTATAAAATTTTCATCACCAACTAGAATTCCAGTGGAATATGGAAATTCCTATTCAATTTCAAAACTCTGGAGATTTGATCTGACATTGTTTTTTTTTAAAACTTTAGGAGGGCATTCCTAAACCTACATAGAAAAATCCGGTTGGGGCACATTTCAATTCATACCCCCCAAAATAGGCTGAAGGTTCCAAGATACCCTTAGGACATCTCTACTCCATTTCCTTTGGGTTTTTTTCTTTTCTTCCCTGCTTCCTATTATCTGCATGAGCTGATATACCATAAAGTCAAGTGGAATTAAATGCAAAATAAAATATATATGGTTTGCATAAGCGCAGTCTTCATTCCATACCGCTGGAAAACACTTTAAAAGTCCCTGAGAGGAGGATGGGAAAACCTGGAGTCTACTCTTTCCTCCGAAGAAACAGCCCCATAATTAGAGGCATTTGAGAATGAAAAAGGGCAGAGGCAGATCTTCTTAGCCCAATCTTGTCTTAACAGACTTTCACGTGCTAAAGCCCAGGGGGTAAATCAAAGACTCTATTACCAGCAAGACGATCCTTTCACCCCCCTTCCTCCCCCATCTCCTCACCAATAAACAAATCATCTCGGGGCTGCAGAAAGCCAACCACAAAAAGGGGAACTGCAGTAAGACTTTGCAAACTCGGCCTTGCTTCCAAATGCTGTTATTAAAGGCACATTGCCTCCTGGTTAACTTAAACGGGCAGAATAAAATTTTATAACTGGGGTGACTTTGAATAAGCAAAAATGTTTTTGCTATTTTTTCAGATTCATCCAGTGTTTAGAAAGTGGGGAGAGTGAGGTGTTACAAGGGCAAAGGGAAGTTTTTGATGAGATTTTTTCCAGGTCTAATCTTGTTAATAAAATAGTTACACAGCCTACGCTTCACTCATCTTACCTTCCCCTGTCGATTTCACTGAAATAACTAAAAACGTGCTATTACTGTATAGGCTTATCAGGAAAGGGGTTACGTCTGACTCGCTCCTGTACAGTCCCACAGTGCTCTGCCCAGCACATACATCAGGAAACACGTTGAGTTTAACGTTTGGTTGGATATAGGCAGTAAGAATGGACGCCAACTTCCAGTCAAATTTGATTTCAAAGGAGCAGAAAATATCAAACTCAGACAACTGAATCCACTCTAGTTCTTTCAGTTACCCAAAGCCATATAAAATTAAAATATGACACTTATCTTGGGGATCAGTCTCTGCTGAATTAGCAAAGGCTCATCTTCTTTGAGGCCATCTATAAAGAATTGCTGAATACATTTCAGCAACAGTGAAACATGCTGAAATTCATTTTTGTCCAGTTCCTAGGCATTAGACCACACTAGATTAAAACCTTGTAAGGAATTATACATTGTATTTTGGCCACAAAACAAACCAACTTACTTGCCTTATTTATTAATCTGTCAAGATGGGGTAATAGAAGCTGATCATATTTTTGAGGTAAGTGGCTCTCTTTCTGTAGAAAATATTCCTTTATTTTCTGAAACTCATTATCATGGAATGCATCAATAATAAGTGACTGAAGCTGGAAAGGTGAAAGTATGCAAATTACTTTTTTCTCCAAGAACATTTATTTTGCACTAGTACTTCTAGTTAATATCATTATCAATAATAATTCAGTGTGAAATAATACAGGGTAAATATAGAATAAAGATATTTATCTTGTACAGTAAACAACCATTTAACACGTGATTGAAGTTTCTGTTGGCTTAAGACAGGAGTTCTCAAAAAGGAGACGTGGGTAGGAGCATTCAGGTCATTCTGATGCATGCTAAAATCTGAGAACCACTGACTTAAGAAAAACTACACTTGAATTATAGATATCAATAGGTGAAGATCCTCAGTAATATTGGAAATTCTAAAACATTAAAAAATTTGACAGATGATCATAATAGAAGGAAGAAAATTAAAACCAATAATTACAGATAATGGAAGTTGGTAAATATGCAAATTAACCATAATGAATAAAATGGATCTTTTCTGCCTGAATATTAACCAAGACTTACTCCTAGGTATATACACTTGAATAACACACATTTTCTTAAATATCTATACTATAAAAGATATGACTTCTTTATCTTTAAAAAACCCAGCCCAATCCTACAGGCTGGATCGTAATATGCAATACAATTTTAATAAAGAAGCATTTTACTATATGAGGGTCCTCCAAAAAGTTTGTGGAAAAATAGATTTAAAAGATAATATGAAACTTTCTATGAATTTTTTGGAGGACCCTAGTATACATCTCAAAAATTCTAGTTATTTTTAGTATTGTTTAAATGGCAAAATAGCATTTGAAATTACTCCATTTAAAAAGAATATTTTCTATTTTAAGTTACCACATACTGGGCCTTTTTGTGCCAAGTGTGTTAAGGGTTCTGCAGATGCTCTCATTTAATCCACACCACCACCCACAGGGGTTAGGTTCTTTGTCTGGGGATACTAATAGCAAGGGTGGGAAAGATTACAAGCTTGCGTGAAATCATCCAGCTGGGATTCACACTCACATTCTCTCTCTCAAAAGCCCAGGCTTAAAACTCTGCCATGGCTTCCCTTGTGCTCACAGTAAATCCAAACCCATTGTTTTAATCTACAAGGGATTTGATCTCTATCAACTTCTTCTGTCTTTGCTGCTAATGAGTCCTAAAATGAGTCAAGCTCTTCCTTGCCTCAGGGCCTTTGCACTGGCTATTTTCAGCCTAGACTGCTGCTTTCCACCACTGTCCACATGGCTGGTTCCCCTCAGATCTCACTGAACTCACATCTCAGGTCTTCCAGGACCACCTGAACTAAAGTAGGCCAAGCGCCCCAGCTGTTCTTCAGCTTCTCTGATAACCTGTTTCTTTGGCTCTTTGCCAGTCTGTAAACTCCGGGAGAGCAGGATCCTGTCTGTTTTGTTCAGTACTGTCCGCTTCCACCTAGAATAGTGCTGGGCACGAGACAGCTTAGATAAGGACATTGGTAGGACAGTTGAAGGTAAAATTGGTGGTAAGTTAGATAGTGGAAAGCAGGGAAGGAGAAGAAACAAAAGATTTCTTTGTTTCTGGCTTGAGCAACTGGGGGAACAACTGTGCTAACAGCCTCGGAAAAACAAAGCTATAAAGAACACACACGAAGAACACAAAATAAGCTTAATATTTACCCACAAAGCGTCCTGGGCCTTCTCACCCGCCATCTTCCCTAACAGACTGCGAGGGACCTTCGTTTTTCTGTGTGCAATAAAAACATGTTTAAAAAAAATTATTTCAAGTTTTAAAAATAAAACAAAAGAAAAAAAGGTTTATACTGTTTTCCCGAACAGAAACTTTGTTTGCTCGTGCCTCTAATCATATGTCTAAGACAGTACTTTTTAAAAAAACTTTATCCAACCTTTAGCATGATCTATGACAAACAATACAAACTATCACATGAAGCAAAACAAAGGTCATTTGAATAAATGATCATACAAAATAAATTTAAACTCGATAGTCATGAGTA